AAAGTTCAGTCTGTGCCAACTAGCAGATCATTGCAGTGCCGCTCATCGATACTAAACTACTATCGAACCATGCTCAGTTGCCTAAATCGGCAGTGTTACTTTCCACGAGGATCCAAATAAATGGCTAAACCTTAGAAACAAAAACTGGCCTGTAGGCTCAATGACTAGGAGCTGGGAAGGAAGAATAAGCATTAGGGTTACCCTCTCATCATTACTGCGCAAAACACTGTAAAGAGCCTTCGTTGCCTAGACGGGTTTCCCACCACGCACCCAATGCATACAACTCTAGTTTGCTCTTCACCGGGTCTCTCATATCGTCCAGCCATTAGCGTTCCCACTGCTCCTTGTCACTCGGACTGTTCAAGGTAGCACCGCTGCTGATATTTCCATGAGTTTCCCCCTAAACCACTGTTAAATTGTTTCCTCTCTCAGTCATAGGCTACAGAGGCAATAACCTTCTCGAACTCCAAACAGATAACAACAAGTCCCTCATCAGTGTCAAGGCTGCCCTCTCATCATCACTGTCCAAAACACTGTAAGGAGCCTGAGTTGCCTAGACGGGCTTCCCACCACGCACCCAATGGATACAACTCAAGTCTGCTCTTTACCGGGTCTCTCTTACCACCAGGCCAGTAGAGTTCCCACTGCCTCTTGTTGCACTCTGACTGCTCCTCGGGGCACTGCTACTGGCAGTCCCGTGAGTTTCACCCTAAACCACTGCAAACATTCCAACCTCAAAACCAATATAAAGTTATAAACCAATTTCCTACACACCCACAACACTATAGCCCATTACTATGTCCGAACTGTTTACATTATGTGTTTCAAAATATGAAACACTAAAGGCGATGCATGTAACAGAACCGAAAGGAACAATACGAATTTCACTTCCCACGGAATTCAGGAGACAACAACATACCAGGAATGACGGTGCCCTAAAATACGATTGAAAGACAGCAGCACAGAGCAAGCTCTCCCACTGCTTCCGCTGATGCTGCTGCCAACCTTTTTTTTTTTTTTTTTTTTTTTTTAAAAAAACCCTCAAGGTTGATGCTGCTGATGCTGCTACCAACCTTCATATAGTTGATCTCAAAAGTTGATGTATCCACCTTGGAGAGTCGTCTGAGCAGAGGTGAAGGATGGATTCATCAGTACAGCCAACTGTAGAGTGTATCAGGTTGTCTCCTTGGCAGTGTCGGCACCACTCCCACCGCCATCGCCAGCCCTCCCACTGTTTCTGCTGACGCTGCTGCCAACCTGACGTGAAGAAGTGAGCGGACGTGAACCACGCTCCTCTTGGGTGGTGAGAAAGGCGCCCCCCTTTTCGAGCTTGAGGCTTGAGGGGAGGACGGCTCCTCTGGTGTCGGGATCTCATCAGGTATGCGGGTTTGGTATGGTATGAAGGTTCGGTACAGGGCTGCCAGGATGCCCTGGTGTAAGAGCGCCGAAGGCACTCCCTATCCCACACAAGGGCTCGGCTACACCAGGACACTGTCCGCCATGGGTCTCACACAGCTGTGGTGCCTGGCAGGGTAGGCGCATCATGGGAAGATCAACGTCGACATGCTCAGACGCTGCGCTCTACTCAGCCACAACAGACGACCGGGTGCCGCCACCGCCGCTGTCCACAGTGAACAGCTTTTGCCTCAGGGTCACATCGAAAATCTTTACTAAGTTTCTTATGGGGGGTAAAAAAAAAAAAAAAAAAAAAAAAAAAAAAAGAACTTTACGGCCGGCAGAGTGGTGTAAGGACAGGTAGCTGAACATTCGACCAGTTCAATCGTTCGTAATCTTCTATTCTATATTTAGTAACAGGATGGAAGAGCGATGGACAACTGGCAGAAGACTCTGTAATACCTGTGGGCCTAGGCTACCAGCCGGGTCGTCCGGGTCCCGGGTGGCCAGCCCGTGCAAGGACCAAGGACGGTCCCAGCAAAAAAAAAAAAAAAAAAAAAAAAAAAACACCAAAAACTCCGAAAAAAAACTATGTTATGTGCCTGAGGGTCACATCGAGATTCTTTACCAAATTTAAAATAAAAATAATATTCAAAAATCCTTTCATTACTTTCATTTTTTTTAACTTTTTTGGCCCGGCCGGGCAAGTGACCCCGGGCCACTCTGGTAGCCTAGCTGTGGGCTGAATTTTCCAGCGAGTGGCTGCTTGCAAACAACAAATGACACGTGCAAATCCACCTGGGGCGAGGTCCCATTAGCAGTCGGATAGGAGTGTGGCCGATCCAGTGTCACACTGAGTGGCAGCGGCCCGACAGGTTCATTACGAATTTCTGGGCTGAGAAAACAGGAGAAACGCAAAAAAAAAAAAAGAAACAGAGACCTCCCACCGAAAATCACGGCAGAGTGCTTCCCAGCCATCAGATCACAAATGATCTGATGGTGGTGGTTGCATC